GTGTCGTGGACAAGAAACATGTCAGACTACACGTTGCTTCCCGACCATTCACCGCGTGCCGTCTTTAACAAAATATGAGTAACTGTATCAGTTACAGTTAAACTTAGAATTTTACTGTCATTTTTAATATAATGTTTAATATAATATCAGATTATATGAGTGCATCATTCTGCATTAGTGATGCGCATAAGTGATGGTATATCCCTGACAAAAGTGTCTGACTAGTCGATAGTAATCGTAAGACATTTGACAAAAAAAACTTGGTACAAGATCAACTTACTTGTGTATCATGGTTTCCACAAAAATACGAAACAGCCAAACTGCTTTCAACATTGATAATAATCAGAAATGTTTCTCAAAGTGTGAAAATACAATTTACAACGCAGCTTATGGATTGAATACCTCTAATATACCCCACTAACAGATAGTTGTTCTTGTTTTAAGCATAAACTCACTTAATTTTGTTTCTTTTCTCAGAAAACAAGACTTCATATGTTCAATTTGCATCTCAAGTAAATGAATCTTGATAGATAGTAAAAACTAAAAAACAAGACAACTCCTGAGGAAGAGATTTATTTTTGCAGTACATTTAATGATATGACTTTATGAATTTAATACTTTCTGCTATTGTTTAAGAGTATTATTTAAGCCTTTTAAGACCCACAGAAACCCTGTTATACTTGTAAAAAATACAAATAAAAATTCTGCCAATTTAGGAGTAATATTTCCACAGAACAATGGCACACACACTGTAAGACTGATCCCAGATCTGTGCCAAAGGTTGAGGAGTAATGCTTGGTTCAGACGACACAATATTTTTGTCGGTCACGATAGTCACTGTGTCAGATTACACGATTTTGACTCCTAAAATCTTGTTGTGTCGTGGACAAGAAACATGTCAGACTACACGTTGCTTCCCGACCATTCACCGCGTGCCGTCTTTAACAAAATATGAGTAACTGTATCAGTTACAGTTAAACTTAGAATTTTACTGTCATTTTTAATATAATGTATAATATAATATCAGATTATTTGAGTGCATCATTCTGCATTAGTGATGCGCATAAGTGATGGTATATCCCTGACAAAGGTGTCTGACTAGTCGATAGTAATCGTAAGACATTTGACAAAAAAAACTTGGTACAAGATCAACTTACTTGAGAAGCAAGACAGGCCAATTTTCTTCAGTTTTTATGGTTTTATGAATGTAAAATTAAGACTTATTAATACCTTTTCAAAACCAAGTAAAGAACATTTTAAGAATAAATCTACAGGAACACAATACATCAATATCTTCTCTAAACGTAAATGTCTAGGGAGCAGAAAGCGAATTGTATTGGCAACACTTCAAAGTGTGAAAATACAATTTACAACGCAGCTTATGGATTGAATACCTCTAATATACCCCACTAACAGATAGTTGTTCTTGTTTTAAGCATAAACTCACTTAATTTTGTTTCTTTTCTCAGAAAACAAGACTTCATATGTTCAATTTGCATCTCAAGTAAATGAATCTTGATAGATAGTAAAAACTAAAAAACAAGACAACTCCTGAGGAAGAGATTTATTTTTGCAGTACATTTAATGATATGACTTTATGAATTTAATACTTTCTGCTATTGTTTAAGAGTATTATTTAAGCCTTTTAAGACCCACAGAAACCCTGTTATACTTGTAAAAAATACAAATAAAAATTCTGCCAATTTAGGAGTAATATTTCAAGTCATCTGTGTGTGTGTGTGTGTGTGTGTGTGTGTGTGTGTAAAGAGAGAATTCTTGTCAGTAAGATAAAAATAATAATAATAATTTTGTACAGAAAGGATGCATTAAATTAATAAAAAATGACAGAAAAAAAACTATTTCATGGTTTCAAAAATCTGTTTCAAATAAATGCTGATCTTTCGAACTTTCTATTAATCTGAAATAGATGAAAAAATGTATCCACAAAATAGTAAGCAGCACAACTGCAACATTGGTAATAAAAAGAAATGTCATGCAAATCAGTCAAATCAGAATCACGTGACACTGAAAGCCTGCGTAATGATGCTGAAAATTCAGCTTTACATCACAGGAGTAAATTACATTTGAAAATACATTCAAATAAAAAACAGTTATTTGAAATTGTACTAATATTTCACAATACTGCTGTTTTTACTTTTAAACAAATAAATGCAGCCTATAGGAGAGCAAATAGAAAACAGCTTTTTTTAAATATATATAATATAATAATATTATATTTGTATATCTAAAATTCAGTCTAAAATAGATACAAGAGACATAAGGACTCACCCATCTCTAGATACTCATCGAACAGCCCCTCGCACACCAGCAGCTGATAGTTTGCTTCCCATGGGCTGAGCTCTGGCTGCCTGTCTGGTTCATCTATCACCTCCTGACTGGGAGCTGGCTTCAGCTTCCTCCTGTGCCACCATGTCTTTAATTTACTGTTGGAAAGAGAGGGGTAAATCTTGAGCCTAATTCTTTATATATAACAATGAGTAGACAAGATCTTTAAGAAGATGTATTGAACATAAAGACCTACGGCAAGACAAATTCCTGGATGTTGCTGATGACCTGTTTGCCTACCATAATGACTAACAGTTCTTGAGCTAGTTCAATGAGACATCCAGAGGCACCACACTACATAAAACAAGGACAGAACCAAGTTACACAGTAGTAAGAATTATTCATATTCCAGAATATGCGCATTTTGCCACATTTTATAATTGTGTGGGAAATATTGCAACATTGTGTATTTAGATATGACGGACAGTGTAAATTTTGTTAGTTTTATTCCAACAAAGGATCGGCCAAGTGAAAAGGTAGAAGATTTGCTTTCCAACAATGTAAACACTCACATCCTCATTTCGGATTCCTAGGAGTGTGTTATAGTTTCCAGGGTATCCAACAAACCTGTAGAACAGATCAAATATTAGATGAAAATTTAATCTTCATACATATTCATTCATTCTGCATAGCTACCCACCTGCCCTTGAAAAAAGCAATGTAAACAGGAGATGAGTAGAAGTTGACAAACTGGAAGATGAAGACCTTGAGGATGAACGCATTCTCATATTTGGTCTGGGTGCGGTGCATTTCTAATAGAAGGAAGTGGTTGATACTTTGCTGTTGCATAAAGAAATGCCTAAATAGTATGTGTAAACATGAAATAGCTTACCCCATCGTGTCAGAATTTTGGCCAGGTAAGTGTAGAGCCGTGACAACAACAGAATAACCAGCAAATTTAGCATAGAACCAGTAAGGCTAGCTATCCTTCCAGCCTACATGGGTGAAAAAGCTGTCTTGGTAAGCAAATTATGTAAAAATTGTGCTGCAATATCTGATCTAATCAATGATTATTTTACATCAGCTTTAAGTGTTAGCAAAAGGCGTCAACTTTTATATCATAGTAGGTGAATTCTAGCTAGTCCAAGCTAGTTTGGCTAATCTGGCAGACCATGTTGAACAAGCAACATACCAAATTCCAAAACTCAGCAAAAATCTTAAGCTGCTGTTAGTTTTCCCTTGCTATACTCCTCCCTAAACCCTCCCTCTACTGTTTCATGGTTGCTTTGTCATTCCTACATCTAACTTGTCTAGGCAGTTTTGGAACTTTTGCATTGCGGGACATCCCTTGTGAAAAACAAGTACACTAAAAACTGTACTTACAGATACTGTAATATAATTTTAATGACCCACCCTTGGAGGGGTTTGAGTGCTTCAGTGACTCCTGGTACAGTCTCCCTGGGCAAATTGGTCCCAGGTGAGAGGCCAGACAAAGAGTGACCCCCCCCCCATAATCCCCTATGACACAAATGAGTCAGAACAGTGAGACCCTGCCCAGAAGACCAGAAGAGGGATACCAGGGCCCTCTCCTGGAGCCAGGACTGGGAGAGGAGCTCACAGGTTGCCATAAGGGCTGTACCTTGATTGCGGAATATGGAATGTGACCTCTCTGGTGGGGAAAAGCCGGAGTTAGTACAGGAGGTTAAGCGTTACCAGCTAGATATATTTGGCCTCACACCACACGCACATCTCTGGCTCTAGAACCAAACTCCTGGATAGGGGTTGGACTCTCTCCTTCTTTGGAGTCACTTAGGGTGAACGGTGCCAAGCGGGGGTGAGAATATTCACAAGTTCCCAACTTTCAGCTTTCTTGAAGGTCCTGAGTGGGGCTCTGGAAGGCATACCACCTGAGGAATCCATAGTTTTGCTTGGTGACTTTAACGCTCATGTTGGAGACGATGGAGAAACTTGGAGGGGAGTGATTGAACCCAAGTGGTGTTTTGTTATTGGATTTCTGTGCTTAGTATGGAATGGCCATAACAAACACCATGTTTGAACATAAGGTGGTTCATACGTGTACTTGGTACCAGACCACATTAGGCGAAAGGTCTTTGATCAACTTTGTAGTCATATCCTTGAACCTGTGGCTGTATGTTCTGAACACTCAAGTAAAGAGAGGAGCAGAGCTGTCAATTGATCATCACCTGGTGGTGAGTTGGATATGATGGAGGGAGAGACTGCCGGACGGAAACACAAAAAAAATAGTGAGGGTCAACTGGTAACATCTGGCTGAGGATCCTGCCTGGAATATTTTCCCACCTACGGAGAAACGTTTCCTTATACCTGGGGGATGCTGGGGACACACACTCTGAGTGAGCCCTGTTCAAAGCCTCCAATGTAGAAATCGGCTGCTGCGAGCTGTGGCTTGAAGGTTGTTGGTGCCTGTCGCAGTGGCAACCCAAAGACCATGCTGGGGCACGCCAGCATTGAGGGAGGCCATCAGGACAAGAGGGAGGCCTTTTGGGTTTGGTTGACTTATGGGTCCCCTCACCGTCGAGGGCTTTGAGAGGAAGATCAGCCACTTTCCATGCAGTGGTTAGGTCTCCCTCGCAGCATCAGCAGCATAGCCTTGTATGGGAGGAAGAGCAAGCTACAACTCCCCAACAGTAGTCTGTCGGAGGAGTTCATGGTTTCCCAATCAAGAGAGGTGATGCTGTACAGAGAATCCACTGACACCAAAGTCTTTCACAGGTAGGAAGTGTAGGGCCCAGGAGGCAGTCGACCAGGCTGAAGCACAGTGTGCTGGTGGAGACAGTGGTGTCAGGACATGCAGGGCATTGTTGTAACCATAAACGTTGATATGACAAGGCCTGGGGAAAGGACACGCGTCAACTGGTCCAAGAAGAAATCCGAGCAGGGGTGGAGGAAAGATGTATCAGCAGGATGGTGGGGATGTGACATCAAGGGGCATGGACTCGATGGGAACAGGTGATGGATCGAAGGAACTTGTGGGCTGAGTTGTGGAAAGCAGAGCCACACCGGATCCAGTTCCTTATCCAATCAGTATACAATGTACTCCCCAGCCCAAAAAACTCTTCTCCTGGGGCCTGAAAAGACACCCCTGCATGCCTCCTATGCCAAAAAAAGAGGATCCCTGGAACACATATTAAGCTGCTGCCGTTAAGCCCTGGGAGAGGGATGTTATTGGTGGCACCACGACCAGGTGCTAAGGGTCATTGCAGGAACCATCAGCACAGAGATCTCTCTCAGCAAGCTCCAGCAGCCAGTACAGCGCTCAATCGAATTTGTCAAGGATGGAGAGAAACCAATACAGAGCAGGATTGGCTGCCGAGGGGAGGCAGGCCAGTCGCTCTTCAGGGCCCACAAGCTCTTGGGAATCAGGGGACTGCACAAGAAGAAAGCCTTCAGGAACATCATAAATGCCACCTTGAAGGCATCTAGATGACTGTGGATCAAAAGGGGTCATCCGTGGACCACACAAGCTACCTAGACACAAGTCAGGGACTGATCTCCCCTGGCTGGGTCGCCTGGGCTAGGGTGTATGATGTTGAAAAAGCCGAAACACCCTATGACCCCAGGTTATATCACTGATGCTGTTTCTAGGGTGCACCTGTAAGGTGTGTCAAATTCTAACAAACTTAAATACACTTTTAAAAATCCACTTTGTAATAATAATGTCAAATTTAATATTTTACTTTAAAGTACATTTTAATTAATTTGTTCACATGGTGTAAAAATCTTTAGTCATTCTTTAAATAAATACAATTTGATGTGTTGAGTAACATACTAAAGCACATGTAAAGTACTTTATTATAATTTTAACCGTAGTGTGTCATTTGATATTACATTTTTAGTTCATATATTTTAAATGTACTAAATTGCAGCTTCTTCCTTATAAATGTGTAATTCAAATGTTTTAAACGCGACACACAAATTTCAATAGCAATGGTGTTAAAGTATATTTTAGTTTATAGTTCAGTATACTTTAACCATATTTTAATATAAGTAACTATGAATTTATATATAAAGATGTACTTAAGTCCTACTTAAGCAAGTAAAAAGCCACTCTGAAGTTCAGCTTTTCATTTATTAAGTATATTGTTTTCATAATGAGTACTCTTATTAAAAGTGTACTTCTTTTTCACAAGGGTTTTCAAGTTATTTTGAATATAAGTGTTAGCTAATGTAAATTCCCATGTAAATGTACATGCAAATCAAAAGAATCATCAAAAGAAATTAAAAGAAACTTACAGAAAATATGAAGAAGGCGTTCTGCGATCTGTAGATAATGATGCTTAGGATAGTTCGATACAGGATAATGGCTATTAGGAAAATCAAAACAATGGCAATCTGCAAGCACAAAGAATAAAATTGAATCATGATGATAATGATTTAGAATTTTTTGGGATTACTGACGATTTCTCAACAGATGTGAGATGGAAATCCATTGACTAACCATTAGAATGATGACCATATTGCCAGTTAGAATACGACTCAGCCGTTGAGTCTTTGGGAAATAGGGTTCTTCAGCCCCAGTCACAGGATTACGAACCGTCATGGGCGCCAGTGCTGTGAATTCTGGTCTTGGCCTCTCCTAACATCAGAATGGAAATATTATGGAAAGCAAGAGAGGTAAAGCATTGCTTTTTGAGGACTAGTAAATATTAAAGGTTAAGACACTCTGCAACCAATTTAATCACCTCTATTTCTTCAAATTCGGAGCAGTCCCATCGGTGGGAGAGTATGGAGCTTGTGCGTTTCCAGTACTCCAGGAAGGTGACGGCCCACAGAGACATGAATATACTGAAGAACACAGTTCCTCCATTGTCAAATAGCAAGCCTGCCTATTGCAAATTTATGAACAAGTATTTTGAGAACAAATTGTGATAGCTAGTTCACAGAGAATGTTATTTTTGGCTTATTTAAAATGCTATACATAATTTTAAAACTTGTAGAAAAGTCACCTTATAAGTATAGCAGATGCTGGAGAGGTTCCAGTAGCTGCAGATGTTGCATAGTGGACACATGACAAAGGCGTCTCCACTGGAGCACAGCTCTTCTCTGTGTGGTCAATGGTCACGATCAGTGCTGGATCATCAACATTACGCCGTTATTAACAAGACTGTGATAATACTCACGCTGCCACATCAGTGACCATCAGCCAGATACCAAACAGAAAAATAATAAAACCCACTACTGCTGCTGGTAATAACCAGCCTGTGTAGAAACCTACAGACATGAGAAATAAGGGCATAAAGCTAGTCATAACAGCCTGTTATGATGAAAACAGTAGACTGTTTAAATTAACTTAGATTGAATGCAAGATTTCTGGTGCATTTTTATTTCATTTTGTCTTATTATTAAATCTACCTATTAAGTATTTACAAAATCATCTACTTATTATTAGCAATAATGGTAACACTTTGCAATAGAGTCCCATTACTTAACTTTAGTTAATGCATTAACTAACATTAACTAATAATTTGCAACACATCTGTTACTGTATTTATTCATCTTTGTTCATTTTAGTTCATAAAAATACAACTGACCATTGTTGGTTAGCTCAGGTCCATTAAACAATATTAACAGATTAACATTATCTAAGAATAATAAATTCTCAAGAAGTATTTTTATCCATAGTTCATGTTAATTAATGTAGTTAATTAATGTTAACAAATGGAATTACTCAGTAAAAAAAAAAGAATTATGTATTATTATTGTTATGATTATTATTATTATTATAAAATAATAATAATACAGTTTTTTTCTGGTATAAACTAAATGTAGGTTCAATCATACCCAACCATGCAAAGTAGAGTGCTATCTTCTCGCCAAAGTATTCACGAATGTGATCCAGAGGTTGGTACTTCCTCCAGCAAGCCCAGCGAGCCCAGTACTGATGCAGGATCTGTCTCATGTTGAGAGACTGTGGATCTACTGGAGTCTTCGGCATCTCAGATGGACCCTAATGAGAATATGATATAGTGCTTGCATTGATTATGGAAAGATTATAAAGTCGTTGTGTGTGTGTGTGTGTGTGTGTGTGTGTGTGTGTGTGTGTGTGTGTGTGTGTGTGTGTGAAATGCTAAAGAACATGCATAAAGAATGAAAGAACATGCATTAAGAAAGGTCCATTTTGATTTCATGTTGGCTTTAAGTAGTGCTGTATAGCTACATATGTAAACAAAGAAATAAATATGTGCATAATTAGTGTGTTTGTTAAGGTAATGTTCAAATATTATGTAGAATACTCTTACAATACCTCATGTAAAGGAAAAGCAGCAGTGAGAACATTCTCACTAACCAGCCTGCCAATGCCAACCTCCCCTCTATTCAACGAGCCATATGGAGTCCTGGCTAATATCTCATACAGCTTTAGAACAAGGACAAAGATATTACGGAAAACTGACAGATCAGTGTGAACAGTGTTAAAGAGAGTGAAAAATAATTTTGTCCATCACAGACATTGTACAGACTACTAATTTGTAAAATAAATGAATCATGGGTGGCAAATATGCAAATATGCTTGCAAATGTTTCTTTGGCTTCGGTAACTGAAAACTTTCTTGCAATGCTGCATCCACAGATGTCAAGACATGTCGTATCACTTAGCAAAAGAAAGAAAAACACCTCTTAGTGCACCACAAATTTCAGGAAAAAAACACTCAAAACTCACTATCTGATGCCTCTGTGTGGTCTTGAAAAACGTATCCTTGTTTTCATGACCAAGAAACCTAAAAGCAGCATAAGTAAGATAAAGAGTAAGATAATGTATTCTATTAAACACTCTCTTTGCACACTCTTTATAACAGTGTATATAGATGCAACAGCTTGATTCAAAATGCACAATAAAAATATTCGGTAACACTTTACAATAAGATTCATTAGTCCATAAGTTTTGCCTCTTTGTCGCCATCTCTGTTTGAAAACCTGCAAGTGCAGCTATTTGCAGAATTATCTTCCTTGCGTGGGTTGTGCACCGGCACGGCTCCAGCGTGGATGAATCTAATGTGTGGATACTGCACTTTGTATTCACAGATTCTACATCTTGAAAGTATGACCCAAATAAGAGTTTTTACTGGAGAATGTCATCTGAACAAGTAAGTAACAACTGCCACTTTTGTTCTGATCAACTGAAGAAAAAAGCATTACAATAAATTGCGCTATCAATGGTGATTAAATCTAACGATCGGTTAGCTCATATCACGTCAACCCGTGCCAATTATTATTATTGTTATACTTTGTTTTTAAATTGTTGACGTTAATAACATCAGCACTGCGTAAGTGCGTGTATTTAGTGTGTATTATTCTGGATTACAATCCGCCGTTTATTCCAGCTTCTGTGAGAAGAGGCTATAAACGATCCTCCACCTGTAGGATCCTCACGTGCGATATAGCACTCTAGCCGGGACAACTTCTTTATGTTTACAGACGTGACGTAATGACGCAGCGCCATGCTCGAATTTCCTGCGAAAATCTACCCGTACCGCTCAAATTAGAAAATTTTATTACAAGCTTACTGTTGTGAATCGAGCTAAAGTAAAGCGATAGTTTTGAACACTTGCTCAAAATTTGATTTTGGATCATTTTTAAACAAAAAAGTTACGGACTGCAGCTTTAACATTGGTTAACTACTAACATGAACTAAGCATGAACAATGCTTCTACAGCATTTATTAATTTTAGGTAATGTTAATTTCAACAGTTACTAATGCATTATTAAAATCAAAAGTTGTGCTTGTTAACATTAGTTAATGCGCTGTGAAGAACAATGAACAACTGTATTTTCATTAACATTAACAAAGATTAATGAATACTGTAATAAATGTATTGCTCTTTGTTTGTTCATGTTAGTTAATACATTAACTAATGGAACCTTATTATAAAGTGTTACCAAATATTCCGTTCACAAGTGATATTTATACATGAGACCTCACATCTCATATGTGAGCTCTTCACAAATCATTTACACCAACGTCTGAAAAAAACTTCATTAGGGCAAACTTGTTTGTGTTGAAAATTATGCTATATTATATTAGCATTATTTTAACCAATAACACATAATCTTTATATAACCAAATTAAAATAGTTTAACCCCTGGGACACAAAAATGCACAAAGTTGTTTGTAGGTGTGTGTGAGTAAATAAATGGGTCATTTGACACAGCAAGCACTTTGCATATGTGTGTGTTTGGAGTGTGTGATGTGTTTGTCTTTAAGGAGGTGCTGACTCTCTGCAAACACTAAAGTGTATGAACTGCATGTTACATGACAGGCTCAGATCCTCTTTGTTAAGCACATTTTTAACATCTTTGTTAATTCACATGCTTCCCCTGTTGTGGCCAATTTTCATTATTTTATTACGGATGCTTTGTGCCAGTTTCACAGGAAGTGAAGATTTTGCTCTCTTAAACACATGGGATAGAAACTGTGCTTATATTCAAATGTTTTATGCAATATTCCAATTTTTCCTATTTTAATTCGCAAACTTTGGATGGAAACATGGCTAATGTTAATTTAATGACCAGTAGAGCTCTAAAAGAGAAACATGTTGTCTTTTTTGGATCAGTACGGATCAGTACCTCTCTAGTTTATTGGTGTGGAACTGGCAGGTGTAGTAGTCCAGTGGAAGGTTGGGCACATCTTGTGCCATTATGTTTGGGATATGCAGTTTTTCTAGGATCTTCTCAGACCAGTTTGATATTGGAGTTGTCACAACCTGAAAACACCCAATAGAGGAGGACAGTAAGATATATTGAGTATATCATTTACTTTTTGATTTAAAAGATCAGGTATGATTTACCTGTAATGGTACTCGAAGGCTGATCTCCTCAGCATAATAACACAGAACATTCCAGGGCGCACTCAGAAGGACGTAAGTAGTCTTTGTTTTTCCCTGTAAAACCTCTTTCTGAGACACATTCAGAGCAGGAGAAAAACATTAGGGGTTCTGGCCCTCAAGGTCCACTTTCCTGCAGGGTTTAGCTCCAACCCTAATCAAACACACCTGAACAAGCTAATCAAGTTCTTCAGGATCACTAGAAAGTTACAGGCAGGTGAGTTTGATCAAGTTTGGACCTAAACTCTGCAGGAAAGTGGACCTCGAGGGACAAAGCTGAGAAAACCCAGCATTAGAAAGTGTCCTTGCAGACAGTTTGCTTTGGGGCACTTAAAAAGATCTGATTTTGGTTCTTTAAAAGGGCACTTAGGTGTTGATGCTTCTTTAAAGAGTTTGAAGCATCCTTAAAGAAAATGTTTTAAAGGGGTCATATGATGCTGCTAAAAAGAACATTATTTGGTGTAATGAAATGTGTTTATGCGGTTTAAGGTTAAAAAACACATTATTTTCCACATACTGTACATTATTGTTTCTCCTCTATGCCCCGCCTTTCTGAAACGCGTCGATTTTTACAAAGCTCATCGGTCTGAAAAGCGAGGTGTGCTCTGATTGGCCAGCTATCCAGTGCGTTGTGATTGGCCGAATACCTCAAGCGTGTGACGGAAATGTTACGCCCCTCACCATATTGTGATGATGCCGTCAGGCCGGAGCGATTCAAAAACATGAAAACCCATTATAAATGAGGCATTTGTTGCATCCAGTGGGGACATAATTACTGATTATAATGCCTTATACTGTCTTTTTACGCGTTGCGTTGCATCGCGCCGCGTAAACATAAAACCAT